AGTGCCCAAGAAATTTTAAATGTTAAATATAACATATTAAAGTGAAAGTTTAAGCAAACCTTAGTGCAGCTCTAAAAGCTTTGTGTTTGATAACATTAAAAACGAGCGACCTTGGTCTTAAAGCAATCGCACTCTTATCAAATCGAACGTTGAATAAAAAATGATATAAAACGCAATGAGCACAACAACATAGAACCAGCAAAACACATTATTGAATTATATAAAAAACATTGTATGGCGCTATGTTCTTCATCAGAGATTAAAGTAGATTATTTTATTTAGAAACTCAATAATGGGTTCTACTTTGCTTGCAAAAAAATTGTTTAAATCCTATTGAAATAAGCTCCATTAAAATTATAAAAGCACAAATTGCCTTTCATAAGCTGCTAAAAATTTGTAGATGCAAGCGCTCAAGCTAACCACTTATTTTTACTTTATTTTGACGGCATTACTCTACATTCCGGCTTTTTCGCTAACAATTAAGCGCCTTTTGGAAATATAGTTGGAGCTGCCAGGAGCACCGGTGGAGTCCTATCAACAGATCCCGGCACAAAGCACATGTGCACCACAACCGGTATTAGTTGGGGAACCTTCGAACTATCCGGATCTACACGGAGCAAAAGGTTTTATTTGATTTAAAGTAATTCTGTCATTATAGTTTAATAAAGTAAATATGTATTACCGCTTGCAAAGAAATCAAAATAATGTGTAAAATCACTTGTTAGACAATTTCATTTGGTAACAAGGTAGTAGTTTTTTTCAGTGCAAAGAGCTGGTGGAATACAAATGTTGGCAATCTGTTTGCTTGTGGGTGGTGGGTGGTGTGTGAGTGGCTGAGTGGGTGGCAGCATGTTGTATGCTTTTAGGGCCAAATATTTCTATTATTAATGTCTGTTTATCTGCATGCGACGATGTCAGCTGCCCCATCCCCCTCTGCCCCCTATTCTCCCAGTCTGTATACATATACATATAAATATATATATATATATATATACACCCACCCGATCTGTGGGGGTGTCTTTGTTTACGCTGCTTTATGGCCTTCGATTAATTTTGCGCGTAAATGGCGGAGAAGTGAAGAGTTTCCTCTGGCAATTTGTTGCTGTTATCTGCGGGGCTATATTTAAACATAGTTTATTAGTTGTTGTTGGAGCGATTAGAAGCGAGGCATAAATATTGCAGACATTTCGCTTGAAGTCTGCCATAAACGAGAGCGAAAAATTAGCAAATTTAGTCAAGAGAATTATCGCAAATAACTGTGATAACTCAAGTAACATATTATGATATCATCTCAATTATCGGCTAAGTTGAGCTAACACTAATTTACTGTTGATATTAATCATTTAAATACATTAATATTTACCAATTTAAAGCCTTTAAAATAAATAATCAAAAAATGGGTATGACAAACTCACCGAAATATTTATAGAAATATTTTTAAACTAAGTCAAAGCTAACTTACGCACACTTGAGGGTTAGATATCGAAACAGTCATGCAGTTTTTATTATGAAAAGAGTTTGTTGAATATTAAAAACACATCATAGTCTTAATGCTTATCTTCAATAAGCCTTTTTGCTTACTCACTCAACCGTTTTACAAAATTCAGACACTTCCATCAGTTTTTAAGTCACTTCAGTACAAATTGACGACAGATCTCAGGTACTTCACCTGAAAATGACCTCACCCTCCCTACTTTGTTTTGTGCTGATGCACTACGATTTTATTGAGGAAAGTCTAGTCGTAAAATAGTGCCGATTGTAAATCTTCCAAAATAGCTTTGCCGGTAGTATGATTTTCACGCTTTTTTAATCTTGTTTTTTTTTTTTTGGCAGTCTGTGATTAAATCCTAATTGTTACTGCATTTGTAAGAGCCAGTAGTTTGCAGAAAATAAAAACTAGGTGGCCTCTCCAGATAGTGTAAATTTGAGAACAAACATGAAAGGGAAATCGGTTGAGTGTGGCGATCAAATGTTTGCCCACAAATGTATTCGTGTTTAGGCGCAAATTGTTTAGATAGTGACGCACCCCGTTCCCAGATTAGGCATTCTTGATAAACACTGCTAATAAACAGAGTCCGCGAGTAAACAAATAAAAACATTGCAAAAATATAAAAATATCAGATTTGCGCAGACATGTGTCCATACATACACACAGAAAAACAATGTTGGATTCAATTGCGAACTAAATATATCGTGTATTTTGCGTTCAAGTATTTTTGTTTAAGATTTTTTAACTAAACCATATAGCCCCCAAAATTCAAATTAAATTATGCAATACATTTTAAAGTCTTATACATATTTTCTTTCTTAAGCTCAATGCTTGCCGTTACAATGAATTTATTTAACAATATATAAAATCTATGTTGCAATCACACTTCTTTTTTTGATTATGTTGAAATTTATAAATTTATTGAAATTGTATGTATATTTGAACCTTAGGGATATCACATATTACTTCTTAATCTTATATACATTTTTTAAGGCTAAACTAAGCTTAATTTAACTTATGATTAAATGGAAGTCTCTGCATTATAACATAAGGGTACATTCTTTTTCTCGAGTAATATTTGCATATGTCCTATTTTCTCGCAGTGCAGCTGTTCGCACATATGTGAATGCTTGAGCTTTTCGCCATCGAAGTGCGAATCGCGGTTATCTAATGAGTCGATAATGTGGGCGAGTGGCGACGGCGAAGGAAGTGCATCATCGGCGGGCGGCATGGTTGTGGGAGCTTTTCTGGGTTCCGTGGAATAATAATACGGAGCTGGAGGCGATTGGGCCTGGGAATGGGACTGGCCGACGTGACCGCCGGCACATCGGACCCAGCCAAAGGGGAAAGCTTCCCGGGGGCTCTGACTACGGTTCTGGTTCTGGGAGTGCTTCTCGAATCGCCGACGAGAGGCTATAGAGTGTAGGTATAAAAGGCCCCATGCAGGGCGTGCGTCCCGCGCATTCTGCAAATAGCTCTGCCCGCGTACACTTCGCACCCGCATTTTCCGTAGTGCCCCCGCATTTTCCGTAGTCCCCGAGTGAACTTCCGATTTCCCAAGCGAAAGCAGCATGTGGTCGAAAGTTGGCATCGCCGGAGCCCTGCTCGTAATGGGTGGCGTTCTATCCCTCAGCGTGGTGGACAACTTTGCCTACGTGGACCGCTCCCTGCCGGTGGCCATGCCCAAGGCCAAGGGTCTGGCGCCGAAGGAGTAAGGATCCTGAGGAGATCCTGGGGAGATCCTGGGGAGCCTGGTAGCCCAAGAGCCAGGCGGTGGATTCCGGATGGCAGCCGATTAACCAGTTCCTGCAGCAGGAACCAGTGCTTTGTACTCGGCGGAAGGAAGACCACTGTGTATATTTATTGGCCATCCGACTACACCGGCTTGTCGTTAATTAACAAGTTCACCGCAAGCGGGAAATAGTTAATGGTGGCCCAAAAGTCACTCCCCTCCTCTCTCCCTGCCGAGAAGAACAATCGTTGAATTCGTGCACTTCACTTTAATTTATACAATTTTTTGTAACATTTTTGTTCCTTTTTTTTTTTTGTATATAAGCTAAGAGGTTCCTAATATTTAAGCAAAATAAAGTGTTTAAGCTCATTTACCCAAAATGTCCGCGTGGTGTATTTGTATTTAATTCGTGTCCATGTGTATTAGCCGTTTTTATTTTATTTTATTTAATTTGATATGGTCCTCAAACGAGTCGCAATTATCGGAGTTAATAATGAAGTGTTGACCTCGGTCGGCAATTAGTGTCAGAAAGATTACACTAGACCACGAAGTCAGACCATATTATTTGGTGGGCTTATCAAAGCCAATTAGCATTGCTATTTGTTTTTTGTTTTTTTTTTTGACATGTACGCACACGGAAATCTTAACTTATTTTTGATTTTATATATATTTAATGCAATTATGCAACTTCTTAAAGGAGGTTATAAATTTCAACCTTTATTTCTTTAGGGCATTTTGTTTTTCTTTTATTTTTATGCCTTAAAAAATGTTGTTCTGAATCTTTTTTTATGCCTTAATATGAAAATATTAAAAGAAAAAATATAATTTTTAATTATTAAATGTTATTAAAACCAAATAGGAACTAAAATTGTTCCTAACCTAATATTTTTCTTAATACTTTAAAAATTGTAATATAATATAATTTTGAATTCAATAGACACATATTTGCGTTGACATATTCTATTTCTTTTTATAAGTGTACCATTTAAATGCATTTTGGAAACACATTAAGCTAATTGTCATTGCTTTTTATACCCTTGCAGAGGGTATTATAATTTCAGTCAGAAGTTTGCAACGCAGTGAAGGAGACATCTCCGACCCTATAAAGTATATATATTCTTGATCAGCATCACTAGGCGAGTCGATCTAGCCATGTCCGTCTGTCCGTCCGTCTGTCCGTCTGTCCGTCTGTCCGTCTGTCCGTCCGTTTATATGCAAACTAGTCTCTCAGTTTTAAAGCTATCTGCATGAAACTTTCCCAAAAGTTGTCTTTCTATTGCAGGTAGTATATAAGTCGGAACGAGCCGGATCGGACGACTATAGCATATAGCTCCCATAGGAACAATCGGAAAAATAAAGGAAAAAAAATTATAACTTTGCTGTTTTTTAATTTTTTGTTTAGTTCTTCGACATTTAGTAATGGTTAAATATTTTCGATTTACGGTTTAAATTTCATCAAAATCGGACGACTATAGCATATAGCTCCCATAGGAACAATCGGAGAAATAAATGAAAAAAAATTATAACTTTTCTGTTTTTTAATTTTTTGTTTAGTTCTTCGACATATGGCAATGTTTAATTATTTCAGAATTATGGTTTAAATTTTATCAAAATCGGACGTCTATATCATATAGCTCCCATAGAACTAATAAAAATATATAAAATAACTATCTAATAATTGAGCTGCAAATCATCATAGCTTCACTGTTTTTCAGTATATACTGAAGTAAATCATAATTTAAATGTTTTCAAAAGTATTTAATTCATGCAATAGCTGCAAGGGTATATGAACTTCGGCTTGCCGAAGTTTGCTTTCTTTCTTGTTTTATTTTAAATAATTAATTTTCCCTAATTTATCATTAATTATATTCAACAACGTATTTCCAGTTTAAGAAAAAACATCTACATACTATAGATAAATTCGTTTTTAAATCATATTAAGATATTTGTGTTTGTTTATTTGAAAGTAAATAAACTATTCGTCACAAATAACAGATAACAGATAACAGATTTATTCTTGGCCTAAGTCGCCCGAATCCTTTTTTTGCTTCGCCTCCTGCGTCTCCTTCGAATTGCCCTCAGTCGCCTTGAGTGCCTTAAGGCTCAAGGCCTCGGCCGCCTCTTTGGCCTTGGCCCTCTGGTTCTTCAATGTGTTGAGCAGCTTCATCTTGGACTTGCGCTTGAGGATCGAGGGCAGCGCGAATCTGGGCTGCACTGGAGGAGGAGGGTCGGGAATGGGTGTTTGCTTGGGTTGGAGATCGACAGTTGCGTCGGGTGTGGGAGGAGCTGCCGGAACTGCCGGAGCTGCAGGAGGTGAAGGAGCTGAAGGAGCTGCAGGAGCTGCAGGAGCTGCAGGAGCTGAAGGAGCAGAGTGAGCAGTGTGAGCAGTGTGAGCAGGGGGAGCAGTGGGAGCAGTGGGAGCAGTGGGAGCAAAGGAAGCAGTGGGAGCAGGGGAAGCAGGGGGAGCCGGTTGAGCACGAGGAGGAGCAACATATGACGCCTCGTCGGGTGGAGGGACGCGTGCAGCAGCCCTTGGTGGCCTGCCAGTGGGCACCTTGAAGGGCGAAGGGGCCGCCTTGATAGCCATTGGCTGGATTGGCTGGATTGGCTGGATTGGCTGGCTGGGCATGGGCTGGTTGGCACGAGGAACGGCAGTGGGGACAGCCCTCTGCATCCTTAAAGCCATGTGCCTGCGATAGACAGCGCCAAACGAGATCAGCTGCTCGGCGGTGAAGAGCAGGTGCCGCTGGTTGCCACTCACCTCGCGCAGAACGGCCAGGAAGCGCGGAAATGGGGATCTGGGGTTGACCAGCTGGGTGATGGTCACATTAGGGCCAAAGAGCTTCAGGTTCTGGCGCAGCAGGGCCCGGCTCATCACCGGCGCCGACTGGGTGGTGGATGTGACCACCGATCCGCTGGCGGCAATCATCGGGTTCGGGTTCGGGTTCCGGATCGGGATCGGGTTCGGGACCGGGACCGGGTTCGGAATCGGGTTCGGGACGACCTCTTGCTTGGGCTCCTCTTTGACGGGCGGATCTTCGTTCAGATCCTTGGGCAGCACCCACGGCTGATGGGCCGGCTGCACAATGACCTTGGGATAGATCTCGTTCTCCAGCGGATTGATGCAGTGCGCCAGGAAGTTGGGTGGCGGCGGCAATGGCGGTGGCGTCTCCGCACGACGACTGCGCTTTGCGGGAACTCTCTTGGGGGCGCCGTCCTTTCTGCCACGCCCACGTCCCCGTCTCCCCGGCTTGCGGACGGGCGCCTCGTCCGAGGACTCCGACTGTCTGGGTTCGGTGTACAGCAGGGTGGGATTGCTGCTCGGGATCTGTGGCAGTGGCGGCGGAATGAACTGAATCTGCCGCTGCTGCTGCTGCTGCTGCTGCTGCTGCTGCGGACGCACTGCCTCGTTGCTGCGGAAGATCATCTGTCTGGGGACCACCGGGTGCCCGGGTGGCACATACAGATCCACCAGCTCGATGATCGTGTTCGGCTGCTCCACCATCACCACCGAAGTGGTGGCCTCTTCAGCTTCAGGGGCGACGGTGCTTTCAATGGTTTCGCTGGATTCGCTGTTCTCTTTCCCTTCCAGGGACATGGAATCTTGTTGGATATCATCTTCTTTTTCCTGGAACTGGTCTTGCGTGGCGGGAAGATGATTCTTCTCCGTTTCCTGGTACATGGAATAAGTTGGTCCCAGAAGAATCTCCTCCGTTTCCTGGGACGAAGTTTCCATTGGTGCCAGAGGATTGTCCTCGTTTTCCTGAGACATTGAGAGATAAGTCACCTCTGTGCCGTTAGATATAACTTCCATTAATGCATCAAGATAATCCTCCTCCCCCTGAAACATGGGCAAAGGATGATTGTCTGTTTCCTGGGACATGACCGGCATTGGTGCATCAGAGTTATCCTCGTTCTCCTGATACATGCAAAGAGGATTCACAACACCCATCGGGGTAACATAATGCTCCTGGGTAACATCATCCATTGGTACAACAGGACTAGCCTCTGTTTCATTGGACTCTTCTTTCATTGGGGCATCAGGGTAGTCCTGATTTTCCTGGGACATAGGAAGCACACTCTCCTCCGTTTCCATTGGGACAATAGGGTTCTCCTGCCTTCCAGGAAGAGAATTGTCCTCCTTTTCCTGGGCCGTGACATCCATTGGGACAACGGGAGAGTCATCCATGGTTTTGCTTCTTTGCGTGACGCCTGGAAATGAGACGAGTTCAGTTGGGAGTAGTTTTGGGGGAGTCCCGCCCTGCAGCACCACATATTAATTTGCATTTGGTTCAAGCCTTATTTGCTTTTATTCCTGCTGACTATTCAACTCTGCCCACTGCCAAACTCATTCTGGTCAGTTCAAAAAAAAAAAAAAAAAAAAATACATACGAAAAAATAAAACTTTGCAAATGGAAAGAAAAACTATTTGGACACAAGGAATGCGCCTAAGATATGCCCTTGTTTTAATTTATAGTAAGCTTTTATTTGTTGTGTACTATTGAAAAGGAAATAATAACGAAGTGGAGTCAAGTTTTTGTCAGTGCACACACACACACACACCAGCCCTGCGCACCCCACAGGCACAAAAAATGACTGGCAAGCCGCAAATACTTTGTCAGGCTCAAGTTGACAGTCGTCCTGGAGCCCCAGTCCTGGTTGTGTTACTGGCGCCATAGGCTCTTTCTGCCCCCTCCATCTGGACCACCACCACGCATTTGACACTTTTTTGCGGGGAGCCATATGCCCGCCCTTCTCTTTGTGTGTGTGTGTGTGTGTGTGTGTGTGTGTGTGTGTGTGTGTGTGTGGGTGAATGGGTGTGTGTGCGAAGGCATTTGGCAGAACAGATTGTTGAAGATTTGATTTCGGGCAGAGAGCTTTGCCACTGGACGCCGCCCTGAGCCACCACCCACCACCCATCGCCCACCACCCATCGCCCATCACCCAGGACAGACCGCCAGTGGAACAATCGTTAATCTAATGAAAGATGACATTTCATGTGGGCCTGGAGATGTTTATGCCCCAACAACACTTGAATGGGCTCTGGCAATGTGACCACTGGCGTCTACTCATCCACTTTCCCACTCTCCCCCACTCTACCACTAGCATCTCCACCGAGATGGCTCTTCCACTTGCTCGCATCTCATCAGATTTTCTGGGGGGCATTCATCATTGCCCGGCTTTCGGTTTTCGGCTTTGGGAGCTTTGATGAATAAGCGGCTAGTTAAGCAGGGTAGCCCATCTCACTGAGCGGATGGAGGCAGCTTGTTGCGATCAAAGGTCAATTTACAAGCGCCGGAGTTAACTCATTGGCCTCTTCCTTATGGGCCCATGTCCATATATCAAACTGGGCATTCGTCACTTAATATCCGAAATGGTAATTAGGCATATGAATTAATTAGAAGGGATATTCATATTCATGTCTTCCACCGAAATCCCTAAAAGTGTGCTATATTATATGCTACAATGAATAACATTTCTATGTTTCTCATATATATAAGCATATAATATAAAGCGACTTTTGCAAATGCAACCTTATTGTTGTAATCAACTAATAGAACGAGGATCAATGTGTAAGGCGCTTACTCATATGGATCTCATTAAATATGGTTTCGATTTGACCATTTTCAGTAGCTGCCACGCCCTTCGCCTTCGCCTTCCACCGTCCAGCACTCAGTGGCCCAATAAAATTTGATTAGCCGAAGAGACTGAAAGACGATGGCCTGGACAAATCCTTGGAAGGCCGAGGACCCAAGAAGGAGCCGAGAAATATAAGGACTTATGGGGGCCAAAAGGGGCGAGCGACCACCTCCCAATTTTGGGGCGGACATGTGTATTGTGTATTCATGAGGCCAGGCGACGACGGCGCCGACAGGACATCAGGCAACTTTGGGTTAATTTACATTATAAACTTTGAATATTTTATTGTTTGCCCGGGCTAAGGACACCAGCTGGCTTCTGTCCCTAGATTCTGCTTGCTGGCTGTACGTTTATTGACACTTTGCTGGCCCAGAGGGGTTAGCCAGCTGAAAGCGTCTGTGGTTTTATGGTGGCATCAACATTTTTGGCCAAATTATGACGGAGCGCCCCCGTCGCTAGGCTACCACGCCCACTGGCCTGGCCATCATTGGCATGGCCTTTGCTTGTTAAGCTCTTAAGCATCGAGTTACTAAATAATTAAGCAATACTCCGTTACCAGCTCGTAAACCAAATCAGCAGATTTCTGCACACAAATGGGGTCATAGGTGCGTATTGAGTAGCACGTTGAGTGCAAAGATAATCGTTGGAATTACTCCGAAATCGATACGCAAATATCTTTTGTAGCTCAAAACAAGTCCAAACCAGTCCAATTAAAACTAATCATCATACACTCGTATATATATATATTTTTGAATTAATTATGTGTGCAATGAATACTATTGCATGTGCCGAGGCAAGAAATATTTTCTTTCAAATTTTAATGCCAATTTGCTCGGAAAAATCGATCAATTAAAGACGGGTTCTTAAAGTTCATGATCTCTTCCTGCATTGTAGTCTGTATATTGTAGTTGTACACTTTTCTAAAGGTTGTTTATCATAAAACAAAATTGTAAAAGGCAAGGGAATACTAAAGGAGTTTTTTAAAACCCGTTATACATTTTTTTTTTATTTGGTCGAAGGGGCTATTGACCCTGAAGGAAATTTAGCTTCGTTTGCTTTTTTTTTTTAGTTTTTTGCCAGTGGCACAGTCGCCTGGATTTCTGGCTATTGAAAACTGTACTTTATGGTCCTGGGACGTTTTTCCTAAAACCGGATTACGAGTTCTGATGAAAGTTTTTGCTTTCGCTGCTAATAAGCTACGTGTGGCAGTTACATTACGTGTGGCTGAAAAGGGGTGGTGGGTGGCTTTGCAAAAGGTGTTGATACAACGCGGCTTTTGGCCTAATAAAAATATGAGACAGCTTAAGCTGCCGCCGTTTCGTGTCTGCTCTTTGTTGTTGGCCACCGTTGAGTCACATATGAATAAACAGCCACTAAATCGCCCCCTCATCTCTACCAAAAAAAAAAGGGGGAAACAAGAGACTGGGCGAAAAGAAATTAATAATTTATAAATGCTTGCTGGCGCCAAGGATTAGGCAAAGGATTTTCAACGCCTTTTGCTTGGGAGTTTTCCGCGGGGAAAACTCCGCGACGACCTTGGGGATGGGGAAAAACTCATTTAAAGAAATGTTTCTCTTATCACCGCTCTGGCATCGAAATTAGCCAAAGCAAAAAGTGCGAGAGAGGAAACGAATAAAGGGGGTGGGTCGGCGGAAAAACAAGGACAAAGCGTATGCAGGCAGTGCAATAAATTATAATGCAAATCCGCCTTTGCGATCGCAACAACAACGGCTACAAAATGGGCAATAAGTGCCCGCCACTTGACTGCGCCGCACATTCTTTTCTTTTTTCCTATTTTTATACCCTTGCAGAGGGTATTATAATTTCAGTCAGAAGTTTGCAACGCAGTGAAGGAGACATCTCCGACCCTATAAAGTATATATATTCTTGATCAGCATCACTAGGCGAGTCGATCTAGCCATGTCCGTCTGTCCGTCCGTCTGTCCGTCCGTCTGTCCGTCTGTCCGTCCGTTTATATGCAAACTAGTCTCTCAGTTTTAAAGCTATCTGCATGAAACTTTCCCAAAAGTTGTCTTTCTATTGCAGGTAGTATATAAGTCGGAACGAGCCGGATCGGACGACTATAGCATATAGCTCCCATAGGAACAATCGGGAAAATAATTGAAAAAATATTATAACTTTGCTGTTTTTTAATTTTTTGTTTAGTTCTTCGACATATAGCAATGGTTAAATAGTTCAAAATTATGGTTTAAATTTCATTAAAATCGGACGACTATAGCATATAGCTCCCATAGGAACAATCGGAAAAATAATTGAAAAAAATTATAACTTTGCTGTTTTTTAATTTTTTGTTTTGTCCTTCGACATAAAGCAATGGTTAAATATTTTAGAATTATGGTTAAAATTTCATCAATATTGTACGACTATAGCATATAGCTCCCATAGGAACAATCGGAAAAATAATTGAAAAAAAATTATAACTTTGCTGTTTTTTAATTTTTTGTTTAGTTCTTCGACATATAGCAATGGTTAAATATTTCAGAATTATGGTTAAAATTTCATTAAAATCGGACGACTATAGCATATAGCTCCCATAGGAACAATCGGAAAAATAATTGAAAAAAATTATAACTTTGCTGTTTTTTTAATTTTTTTTTAGTTCTTCGACATATAGCAATGGTTAAATATTTCAGAATTATGGTTTAAATTTCATTAAAATCGGACGACTATATCATATAGCTCCCATACAAATAATAAAAATATATAAAAGAACAATCAAATAATTAAGCTGCAAATCGTCATAGCTTCAATGTTTTTAAACATTACGCAAGTAAATCATAATTTTAATGTTTTCAAAAATATTTAATTCTTGCGATAGCTGCAAGGGTATATGAACTTCGGCTTGCCGAAGTTTGCTTTCTTTCTTGTTTTTTATATATATTTTTTTTTTTGTTCGTCGCAAACTGCCATCCTTGTTGTTCGTCCATTTAAAATGATAAAAATCGCAAACAATATCTGCCCCCGCAGTGCAAAAAAAAAAAAAAAAGGAGGCTTCAGAGGGTTAAGCGCGGTGTATGGTGGCTGTGTGGGGGGTTTGTTGAAGCAACTGCAGCCTTTCACTCACCAATCAGATGGGCAGCCTCCAAGATATTCGCTAACTTAAAGCGACTCAAAACTGGACTTCCCGTGTGTCGATGCCTTTAGATCTGGAACTGTATGTAAGTCAAATGTTTGGGAGACCCTGTAGAATTTCAACTGACATGCCGCCCCGAGCCGACTTGTTGGGCAAAAAATATTGAACGGAATATTTGTTCCGACCCCACAATTGATCATTTTTAAGCAATCTGATAGTCTAGTTATACTCACGCACATCTCCTATCGAAATCGGAATAGACGCAATGAAGCGGAATTGGTGAAAGTTCCCCACGATAGTATATCGAATTGACCAATTTCGAGTGATTATCTAGTATACATCGAGTAAATAACGGTAAAAATCAAAATTTTGTAGACTGATGCACATTGTCCCATCCCTATCTGCCTATACGAAACCTTAGCAAAAAAAAACCGCGTCTTGCCCAACTTATTAAATTAGTCAAATACTTATATACTCAAACAAGCAATTTAAACATTGATTTAAATAGAAAATAACATAAAAAACAAAATTCACATTCAAAAAAGTAAGTACTAAAAAAGATTTTAAGAAGAGCAGGTAAAGTAGTTAAATAAAGAAAAGGTGCATGCATAAGCCTAGCAGTTAGCATATGTTCATTTGGGGGCACCAAACTCATAACAAAAACGTTGTTATCCGCCTCAATACGAACCTTTCCAAGTGCGAAATTATAAGCATATGTAAATGTAGAACCGTATTCAGGATTCGATTTTCGCCTTCATTCACCCATTTAATCTGCTCAGTGCTGTCATTCTGTCTTTTTTCCGGACAGATCTGTCTGTGAGTATGATAATTAGTTATTATCGCTTTCCACCACAAAAATCAGGCTTTCAGACAAAAAACCATGGCTTCAATAGCCTATATATGAAATGCCATAAAAAAAAACTGCCAATCAATTGGCATTCGAACCTGGAAATGTTTACTTTTGTCCATTTTTGCAACGTGTGCTCTTACCCTTCATGAAAAACGCAAAAATTGTCCAAATTTATTTCAAATCAGCGGTAAAACACTAGAAAATTACCTATTATTGTTTAGCTGCAGTCGTGTATAACATAAGCTATTCTGCCTATAAACTAACTCAGGTTAAGTCCGAAAAAGAAATAATAATAATGATGTTTTTTGTTTTTAATAAAAACCAATGGTTCATCCTTTTTGGCCAGAAATCTTTTCTGATTTCTTAAACGAGCTGCTGACAGCACTGAATGTGCCGCAAAATATTTGAAAATTGCTCTTTAAGACGAAAAGTTGAATTGCGAAATGCTGACAAATGCGTTTCGATTTCCATTCACAAAGGGGGTTCGATGTTGGGTTTTCCATATATCTCAAAGTTGGAAATTAAATTAAATTTCTTTATTGGCACTTTTTTCCTGCATTCGTTTCGTTTCGTTTGCCACGCATATGCATATGCAAGATCCAAGGAGGGTGTCCTTCGATGGGTGAAAGGGGGTGGCTCGAGGGCTGCGTGGGTGGGTGGGTGGTTGGTTGGGTGTTTGGATGGATGGACAGCCAAAGCAATCAGCAGCAATAAATGATAAGCTTCGAGGCAACAAAGCCAAAACCGAAAGACGCACATGAACACAAAGAGTCTAGATGGGTGAGGGTGGTGGTGAGGGGTTTGGGTGTGTGTCTGCGAGGCGAACATTCCGCTTTGGGGGGAGGAACGAAGAGGCCGAAGGCCGGGCAAAAAACATCTTAGATGCCGGAGCCCAAGATAACTGTCATCCACAGGAGAAGCGGCAAGACGAAAGCGAGGCAGTGGGAAATAGGCTTTCGCCACTCGCTTCTCTATGGTCAATATCTGAAAATCGGAAGACGCGAGGGGTGCTCGTCTGGGGCTACTTTGCAACAGATTTGCCGCTAACGAAGCGCACGATTTCCAATAATACACAGAATGCGTCTGAGAGATGCGGATGCTATTCCTCCATACCCACGAAAGCCTACGGCCTTGGGTAGCTTTGTGTTCTGTTCATTTTGCAGAAAAGCCTCATAATCTATGTCTATCGAAAATGTACGAGAATGTATTCATATAGATTTCGGTTAAGGAATATATGAAAATTGCAACAATCTTGCTATTCCGCCATTGACTCGCCTGAAAAAATGTATAAATAATTGAATATAAAATTAATTTTTAAAACTGCTGTTTTTTTATTCTTTCGAATATGTAAGGTAGTGGTTTCTACATTTATAGTCCGATAACGAGGTGGATTTCATTTTAAATATATGTTATCCAAGCGAATTATATGTATATGTTAAACATAAGGAACAAATTATATCTTAGCCGCATAAGCCGTTAAGCATGATCCACACCTGTAGACATCACTTGAGTGAATTATAGAAACAGTAAATTAATAAAATCCCTACTTTAACTCTTAACTTATCCTGCTATTCATAGGAAATAAATGATCTAAAAATTAAAAAAATAAATAAAAGGAAGCAACTGAACATAAACTCGAATTAATTTAATTAAACTAGACAAAATGATTGAAGCAAGAATATCGCAACTAAATAAGTTAAATAAATAAGTTCATCCTTAATTGCTAGCACTTAGTCAAGACTGTGGGCTCTATTAACTGTATTTTATTTAAACAGGGCATCCAGCTAGTCCATTCCTGACATCATCTCACATATGCGAATACAATCGCAGGGGACGGTTGCTCATAAAACGTACGCCAAATGGACACAGACACTCGCCGTCCCACTCCAGAGATGCGACTTGTTGGCCGGACTTGGCCATAATGAGTTCCCTTGTGGCCGGACCGTATCGCCTTTTTATGGAGCCGCCCGAAGGGGGCGGCACAAGCGGTTGTAGGCGGTGGATGGTGGATGGTGGGCGGTGGGTGGTGGGTGGTGGCGTCAAGGTGAAAGCCACTTAAAGCCAAGGGCAGGGCTCAACAATTTCCAGTTATCATGTGACAGTAATGAAGTGACAGACGGCAACAAGGAGATCCGAGGAGCTCGATGACAACTCGACCGCAAAGCCTGAAGTGCGAGAAGCGAGTTTTCCATGAAGTGGATTGCGTGGAGGTCAATTTGCCCTTTAAGCCGTTTAAAGCGGCTTGAGTTTCGACATCGGGCCAGGTTGTTCGCCGCCCACTCCTCCCGTTCAACCTGCGGTTCTCGGACAGCGGCCACATCAATTATTAATTGCAGAATAATTGCAAAACTGTGTTTGGCCAAGTTAATTTATGCAATAAGACCACCGCCCACCGCCCCAACCACGATTTTCAGCGTTTTAAAGTCGCTCCTTCACTCAATTTGCCACTCTTCATTCCGTGTAATTCCTCTGCTCATTTGAAGCAAGCGGCCCTTTTTTATGTTCTGTGTTTGGGCCTTGCTGTGTTTGGGCCCAGCTAATGAGCCACTGATGGTCATGAGCCGGCGACCCAGTCCCCAGTAAAGCCCTCCTTTTCAGCCAGGGCAATTACTTAATCATTTGCCTAACGACCGAAAGGCAGGCGAAAGGCAAAAACAGCAGAAATTAGCAAAAATTAAGTGAGAGTTTAAGTGAACTTGGGCTTGGGCTTGGGCTTCGGCTTGGCCACTCCACGTGGCCGAATTTGTGGTAAATTGTGGTGCGGTTCTTCTAATTTTCAAATAAGTGCGGTGTAGGCAGAAAAGTATGCTACATAAAATATGCTAAACTATCCTGAAGACCAATAGTGTAATTGCAATTGTGATCAATTCTGGCAGTAAATGGAAAGTATATTGATTTTGGCACAGTTGTAGATGGCTCTTGTTGTATCAAAGTACATCAAAAAAACTTTATGAACTCATCGAACGCAAAATGTGCAGCATTTCTCTACCATATTATTGTGAAGTTTTTAATTTAAATATATATCGATTATGGATTTCTTTTTTGTTCCTTTTGTTAATTGTGTAAATATTTTCGTCTAAATGGCCATTGCACATTTGAAACGGAAACTTATTTTCAATGTGAAAAAAGGAATAAATTCTTATTTCTGTCTGTCTTAGTCGATAGTATCAAAGTTTTACTGAAGTTAAAGTTTACCTCATGCCCTCACACGATTTTCTCTTCCAACATGTGTGCTTTTGTCACGTTCTGTGGTCTTTGTAACTTTAAAATATTTAAATAAAAATATACGAAATATAAGCCACTGCATAAATGAACTTTCTGATTGCGTCTGGTGTTAGTTGATGGACAAAAACGGAGCACACCCTGATGCAATAATAATTCGTTCAGTCCACTGTCACTTTATTACTTATCAATTGGCCATCAAAAAGGTGTTGATACCAAAGGTTTTAAAATTGATATGCTTTTAGTGATTAGTTCCTAGCTGTCAGTTGCTACTTATTTCTTTAACTAAGAGCACTGTAACCGCTTTGGTAACTAACAGAAATTATGAGAAATCGTGCAAAAGGATTAACAAGCCAAGAGAATCTTGCAGCCATATATCTATGCATTTTCGCAGCATATCTTGCAATTTCCTTGTCGTAAAAGAAAGAATCCCGTCCGAACGGGGACACATTGAGGAGCGGAGGGCCAGGGACGGGGAGCTGGAAAAATCCACATAAACATTTTTGATATTTCAAATATTTATCATTTAAAATTCTCTGGCCAAGGCATGGGTTGGCCTGGCAGAAAACCGAGAACACGCAGGATTGAGATGCTCTCGGCCTTTGGTCTGTTCTGGCATGGTCTGGTCTGGCTTGTTATTATTATTATTCTTCTACTTTTCCAAAGCTGAGTGTGCAACTGCATCTGCATCTGCTTGTGCATCTGCGGGATACCGAGATACTTGTACTCGACCGTGGTTGTGTGTGTGTATCTTATGGATTTCTGCTCGGGCCCAGGCAAGCATATAAATCTATTATCCTTTAATTTAGCCACAGAAATAATGAAGCATGTAAGAGTCTTTTGTGCATCGTTGTGCCAATGTATTTGCGTGCCACGCCCTCTTTGTTGCACCCCTCCGCGTTCTCCCCCGCCCCTGACACACATAAATTCAATCAACGGCAATTTGCTGGCAGAGTTGCAAAGGCGTCGACGTCCGCAAATGTGCAATTTATTTATTGTTACTTGGGCAAAAGCCTCTTGCTGTTGTTTTTCTACCCCGTAA